AGTAATTTTAATAAAGTCTCGTAAACAAAATCATCCAATCTCCATCAGCTTTGACCATACAAGATAAGAGTTCTATCTTTTATCTCTTACACATTTTCCTATTTTCTTTCTTTACTCAATTTTCTGTATCCATTCAGTCTTTCTCAGTTTTTCATTGTTGTATTCCTTCGATTTAATACATTTAAATAACCTCTAAACTAGTAAAATCACTTTAACAAAACGTTATCCTCATTTCTTTCTTTTAACCTTTCTTATCAAAAACATCTTACTTTTCTTACACACTCTGTGCTTAGAATTGTTTCTTTTTTGTTTTGTTTTGTTTTTTTGTTTTTAAGTTGGAGTCTTATTCCATCACCCAAGCTGGAGAGCGGTGACACACTCACATCCACCCGGGGTCAACCTGCTGGGCTCCGGCAATCCTTCCACCTCAGCCTTCCAAGTAGCCAGAACTACAGGCACACGCTACCATGCTGGCTAATTTTTTTTATTTATTGTAATGATGCGGTCTCACCAAGCTTCCCAGGCTAGTCTTGAACCTGCAGGCTCAGGGAGTTCACTCACCACAGCCTCCCAAGTGCTAAGGTTGCAGGCTGAGCCAGTGGACCTGCCATTTCTTTTCTTATCTCTAGTTTTAGTAATTATACATCAGTCAGAATTAATACTTAGTAATCTTATAGTGGAAACCTAAAAAGCCAGCAAATTTTTAAGCTGTCAGTCATTAACCAACAGTTTATGAATACATATTTTATGCTTTTTAAACATAAACTTTCTTTTTTGTTAAATATAGTTTTATTTTAAAGATGTGGGGTATGATTCTGAGTTAGGTAAACAAATGTTCATTATGCAGGTACCCTTGTTGATGAAGTGTGCCCCCCGCACCACGCACAGATTCCTACTACTGCCAAAAACACTTCCCCCCCCACTCCACACCCCGGCAGTTTCCTGCTACTGCCAATCCTTTTCTTACAGTATTACGGTACTTGTTCCAGTTCTGTTTATGAGTGAGAACATGTGATACTCAGGTCTTTGTTTCTGTGTTAGAGTACTCAGTATTATAGACTCTGAGTCCATCCAAGCTGCTGTGAAGTTCATAATTTTGTCCTTCTTTATGGCTGCGTAATATTCTATCATGTGTATGTACTACATTTTTTTCTCCAGTCCTCTTTTGATGGGCAGCACAGTAGATTCCATGTTTTTCCTATTGTGAACAATGCTGCAATAAACATACATGTGAACTGGGGGCAGTGTTTCAAGCCTGTAATCCCAGCACTTTGGGAGGCTGAGGCAAGAGGATCGCCTGAGCCCATGGGCTCGAGATTAGCCTGGGCAACATGGTGAGACCTCGTCTCTACAAAAAGCAAAACTATTAACCCAGTGTGGTAGTGCATGCCTGTAGTTCCAGCTACTTGGAAGGCTGAGGCGAAAGGATCACCAGAGCCCAGTAAGTCAATGCTGGGGTGGCCATGAGCATGCCACTGCACTCCAGCCTGGACGATGGAGTGAGACTTCACCTCAAAAAAAAAAAAAAAATACACGTGTAGGTTGGAAACATAAGCTTTCTAATGGAACAATTTTTCAACATGGAGTTGGACATTTTTACTGAACAATTTAAATATCTTTTGTTTATCTGAAATAAAAAGCCAAAATTTTATAAGCCGAAACTCATATTTAGTAATTACTGTCTTAGCATTGTATTTTATTTGAAAACAATCTAGATATTAAGTGAATATTCATCATTTAATTTAGCTTAGCAATACTCTAAGGCTATAGTTATGAAATGATTTTAGAAAACTTTTTAAGGAAACGTAATACATAATTATTATAAAAAGTTTATTTATGAATTTTTATCCCATTTACATTTATTTAATATTTATTCTTAACAGTTGTCTGGAAAATTTCATGAGACATTAGGCAAATCTAGCTATCATCTCAGTTAAATTTTATATAACAATTTTTTTTTTTGAGTCAAAGTCTCACTCTGTCCCCCAGGCTGGAGTGCAGTAGGACGCTCACCACCATCCCAGCATCGACTCACTGGGCTCAGGCAATCCTTCCACCTTAGACTTCCAAGTAGCTGGAAATACAAGTGCATGCTACCACACCACCCAGCTAATTTTTAGATATATTGTAGAGATGAGGTCTCACCAAGCTGCCCAGGCTGGTCTTGAAACCCTGGGCTCAGGCAATGCTCTCTCCTCGGCCTCCCAAAGTGCTTGAATTACAGGCTTGAACCACCGTGCCCAGCCTCTATTAACAATTTTTTGTAATGCTATATGTTAGGCAAGTATCATAAAAGCAAGAAGTTTAAAGCTAAATACATTAATATTTTGCTGATAACTCAGAAGTTTTTATTAAGCCAACAATATTAAACTAGCCTTATTTTCCCAAAGATTGACTAAGTCATGTGAATTTGGAAAATACGTGCACTAACTTAATTTATGGGCACTGATTTACCTTTAAGATAATTTGGTTCCACGTAGATAATATGGAAACACATGTATAGACATATATCTACTAGTAGACACAACAGATAACATACACCTATACACATGCATGCATCTAAAAGCCATAGACAACAAAGAATTCAATGTAAAAGAGAGTAGAGCTTTAGATCTGAGAGGAACTTGTTCACCCACAAGTCTTAGGCATGCATGAGGTAAAACAGAAGTCCCTTTATGTCATATAAAAGGTGGCAAGGGCAAGGAGGGAGAGACAGAAGTAAATGGGAGAACAAGTCTTAAAGCAGCCAATTTAGGGGTATCTTGCTTTTCAAAAAGTCAGTAAGGTTTTACATTATCTTGGTAAAAACCATGCCAACAAGAAGAGAAACAGACAGAGGGGGTACATGTGGTTAGCAGGGGTTGAAGAAGAGCGAAATTGAGTTGACTAAAAGCTTTTATAGAGATCTCACCTCTCTTTCTCTCTTTCTCTTGATTATATATATATAATCAAGTAGGCTTTTGACTATAGAGTTCTTCAGAAAAATATTTATATCAGATTTTAGCCATGCACATAGCAAGCATTCCTGTGTCTTGATTTCTTTTTTTTTTCTGAAATTTACCTCAAGTAGGAGTTTGGGAGGTGTTTATTACATGTCTAATCACTACTTAAAGCTGTTTGTCTTTTGTAAACTTGCAGTCAAGTTCAGCAGGCAGTTTGAGACTCTAAAGGGGTTTCCAGGAGAGTTAAAGGAGAGTTCCCTCTAAAAAGAAAAAAATGCTCAAGGCTCTTATGAAATTATAGCCAGGACAAACAGAAAGTAGATCTCTCATTCAATTTGGCTCCAAAACTTGCTTTTTCTAGTTGTGTGTGCAAGTATATTAATGTAGCGATTTCCAAAGACCTCTATTTTGGCCATCGCATTTAGGGTCATCTTGAGTGGTGTAGGTCTAGTTACCTAGGTATGTGCAAGATGGAGCACCATATATCCAGCTGGTGTTTCTAAGGGGTTGCCCCTTAAGGGAAAGCTCAGTTTTGATGAGTGGTTACCCATAATTTTAGAAATTATTTTTTTAAAGTGACCAAGGCCAAAATAGTGTATTGGATGTCACTGGTGACATTCCTCAAGGTGTCACCAGTGGGTCATGAATAGCTCTCTTGGGTCTGGCAATCTCTGATCACCTTGCAATGGTTGAGTGCTCTAGGTATCAGGGTGACCGTTTTTTTATTTAGGGACTCTGGATGAGCAAGAGTCCCTAAAATGTCCTGGTAAGAAATGCCCTATGAGGTAGCCTCACATCCCAAACATCCCAAACAACAATTGTGACACCTCTACAAAGTCTCTAGTCTGCTGCAAAACCAGAATGAGTCAGAGGGTGCAATTGCCTCTTCTGTTTGGGGGGAAATAATTCACCCTCATTCACCTTTGAGGTTGAAGCTAACAATGAATGGTTACAAATGAAAAAAAAAAAAGTCTGAATCACAAACAATAGGAAACAGCTGCAGTTTTCAAAGCAGGGTATGTAATTTTAGGCCAAAAGAAATGAAACCACTGTTGCCAGGCTGCCAATCTGCCAATCAGATGACTTGGACCTCCTGCTGTGAGACAGTGGCAGAGAAGCCAGGGTTTTTTGTTTGCTTTTGTTTTTGATTGTTTTTATTTTTTTCCTGAAACCCTTATGCCCATAGACAAAGATGGATACTTCCATTCTAGAAAGGGAGGGTTGGAAAGAACTGCTAAATAAAGTTGCGACCTCGCCCAAAAAGAACAGGAGCTCTGGATTCAGGAAAACTCACCCTTTGCACCCAGTGCAACCTCTGGAGTCAAAGGAACAAGTGGGCTCCTGTTGGTACCGAGCACCAAATCCCAGAGGAAACGGTGGGAGGTGATTGCTCTGAACCCTGCTCGCTGAGCCAAAAATGTTGTCCTAAAGGAAAAAATTGAGGCAAATGAATACAGGTAGAGAGTCTATTTGGGACAAGATTGAGGACTGCAGGGCACGAAACACTTCCAAGTTTCGTTGGCAACTGCCTGGAGAACACAGAGGCACAAGTTTTTAAAGAAGAATAAATTGGAAGAGGAGGCGATTACAAAAGCTGTTTTTTGGGAATTCCCCATTGGTTAACAAAAATAGCTATGTTAATTGGCGATACATGTTTTGAGTTATGCTGTCCACCACAGGCAGTTAATTCATGGCTGTTTGTGGCATGAGTCTACAGCCCACCTAGCAGGCTGTGATTCCTTCCTCCAAATCATCCAGTCTCCCCAGCCCATGGCCCACCTCCCAGCCTTTGTGCATGCTGTCCCGCGTTACCTTTCACCTCCGGAGTGACCCGATAGCCCCCTTGCCCTGCTTTGCCTCTGAAAGACCCTGATTCCCGGTCTTCAAGCACCCCTGTCTGTTCTGGATGTGACCTCGGCGCCTGCCCCCCCACCCGCGCCTCCTCGCGCCCCCCCGCCGTTTGCCCCGCGCCACGCTTCCCTCCTCCAGCTCTCCCCCTCCACAGTTCCGGCTGAGCCGCCCCCAGTGCCCACCATCCTGTGGCTCCACGGACCAGGACCCCGCCAGGCCTGGGGGCCGGCGAGGCACGCAGCGCCGGGATGGGCCTCAGTCCCGCCGCCGGGAGGGAGTGCAGGCTCCGCCTCCCTAGGTTCCTGCCATCCCGCCCCCACACCGCCGGGGG